TTTTTTTTTTTTTTTTTTTTTTTTTTTTTTGGTTTGTTTTGGTTTTTTTTCGAGACAGGGTTTCTCTGTGTAGCCCTGGCTGTCCTGGAACTCACTCTGTAGACCAGGCTGGCCTCGAACTCAGAAATCCGCCTGCCTCTGCCTCCCAAGTGCTGGAATTAAAGGCGTGCGCCACCACCGCCCGGCGTTGTTGCCATCTCTTTAGTTTCCTGTGGCAATGCTGTCCTAACCGGTTGTCTGGTTTCCATTCTTGATTTCTCCATTTCATTCTCCATTTAGAACCTACACTGTTCCTTTGAAAATATCATCTCAATATTTCGTTTAGAATTATTTAGTGGCTTCCAGGGCTGGAGAGACAGCTCAGTCCATAAAGTGAGTATTATTTAAGCATGAGAACCTGAGTTCAGATCCCCAGAACCCACATAAAAAGGGGGTCATGGTGGCACAGTATATAACACTAGTACTGAGTAGCAGAGACAAGTGGATCCCTGGAGACCATTGGCCAGCTCATCTAGCTAAATAAGGAGACTCTTCTCAAAAAAAAAAATAAATAAAATAAAATAAAATAAAATGCTCAAAGTTGAGGAAAGACACCAATATCTGTGCCCTCTGCACAAAGGTACACATAAGCCCATATACACACCTGCACACACTAACAGCTGCACTATACACAGACACACCACACACCTACAATGTAACATACCCCACAGTATACACACAAAAATTAAAAAATAATGTGAAATGATTTATTGGCTTCCAATAACACACAAACGAGGTTCTAATCTGACCATGGTCTGACCTCATTCGTCTCTCCTCAGTCATCGTCTACCATCTAGCCTCAGTGATTCTTTGTTTTTATTTTTCCAATAGGCCAACCTTGCCCCCATTTTAAACTGTGTTTGTGAGTGTACGTGTGTATGTGTGTGAATGAGTACATGCAGAAGACAGAGGGCCACCCTGGGCATCGTTCTGCAGGTAATAGAGGCGGGAGAGGGGAAGGAGAGGGAGGAGGAGGGGGAGAGGGAAAGGGAGAGTGAGAGTGAGAGTTTTTAACCATGTATGGATGTGTCTGTCTGTGTGGGCACATTCCAGTGTCTGTGAAGGCCAGAGCCATTAGAGTCCCTGTAGCTGGAGTTATAAGCAATTATGGATCTCCTGATGTGGGTGGGTGCTGGGAATCAAACTCAAGTTCCCTAAGACACTGAGCTGCCTCTCTGTCCCCCAATGTTTTATTTCTTCAAGAGAAGGTCTCTCACTAGAACTTTCCAAATAGGCTTGGCTGTCTGGCCAGCAAGTCTCAGTACTTAGCTTGTCTCTACCTCCCCAAGGCTACAAGGCTCTGATTAAATTTTTTTCATTGACTCTGGGCACCAAACTCAGGTTCTTGTGCAAGGCAAACACTTCACCAAATGAGTCATCCCATTGGTTCCAAATTCTTAGCTCTTTTTATTTCCTCTGTTTGAGATACTCTCTCGTCAGTTCTTTGCTGGCTCCTTTTAATTTTTTCAAGTCTTGCTTCAAATGTTTCATTGTCCTGAAAATGTCCCACATTTAAATGACTTCCACCCATCTATATTTCTCTATATATTTCAAGTGTTTTATGTGTATGTGTATTTTGCCTCTGCTGATGGAGGATGTCAGATTTCCTACATCTGAAGTTATAGACAGTTGTGAGTGGCCATGTGGATGCTGGGTGCTCTTGGCTGCTGACCCATCTCTCTAATCATTTTTTCTATTTTCTTTCCTTTTTTGGGGGGGAGGGGTTTTGAGACAGGATTTCTCTATATAGCCTGGGCTGTCCTGGAACTCACTGTGTAGACCAGGCTGGCCTCGAACTCAGAAATCCTCCTGCCTTTGCCTCCCAAGTGCTGGGATTAAAGGCATGTGCCACCACTGCCCGGCTCATTTTTTCTATTTTCTTATTCAAATATCTATCTATCTATCTATCTATCTATCTATCTATCTATCTATCTATCTATCTTTGTGTATGTGAAAGAGACACAGTCTCATGCAACCTGGCAGGCTTTGAACTCCCAATCCTCTAGCCTCTACTTCCAAAGTATTGGGATTACAGGTATGTGCCACCATGTACTGACATTTACATATATGATTTTTTTTTCCTTATTTGTCTTTCTTCAAGAGAATGCTGCTCAGTGAGGCCAGGGAATTGTTCCTTTTGATATGACTGTATTTCCAGGGCTGAGACAGAGCCTAGCAGATATTTAATAAATATTCATGGAATGAATAAAAACATGTATTGCTCAAGGCTAGAGAGATGGTTCAGTGAGTAAAGTATTCACTGCATGAGTTTAAGAGCTCAGCTCCCCAGCACCCACATAAGAAGCTGAGTGTGTAGGCCATGTCTATAATCTGGTACTAGGGGAGAAGACAGGAAGTTCCCATGGCTCGCTGGCCAGCCAGTCTTGACAGTCAGCCAGTTCCTGATCCAGTGAAAGACTGTCTCAAAAAATAAGGTGGGGAGTAACAGAGGACCACAGCTGAAGTCAACCTCTGGGTTTGAGTCTTGGAGCCCCCATGAAAGGCCAGATACAGTGAGCCAACAATGCTGAATGACACAGTACACAGTGACAGAAACAAGAAAGACTTTGTTTCAACCCAAACTTGTCTTCTCTCTCTCTCTCTCTCTCTCTCTCTCTCTCTCTCTCTCTCTCTCTCTCTCTCTCTCTCATACACACACACACACACACACACACACACAAACAAGAGATAAAAAATAGTCTGAAACTCATACATTTCATAAGGTTTTTGGTAGATATGAGTAGAAGCCATTTGCAAAGGTGTTTCTTTCTTTTATTCTTTTTTTTTAAGTCTATGTAGTCCTTGCTGGTCTAGACAGAGTCTTCCTGCCTCTGTCTCCTTAGTGCTGGGATCAAGGAAAATCATCACAAGAGAGATGCAGCAGGCATCCTCAATGAAAGAAGTGACATCCAGAAAACCTCAGGCCCAAGGCATGGTAAAGAAAGACAACAGTGGTTACAATGATTCAAGTAGCAGCTTGGAATTATGGGAAAGAGCTGATAGATTTGAAAATGACCAAGTGGATTTTTTTTCTGGGTTTTTGAGGCAGAATCTAACTTTATAGCCTTTAATTTAACTTAGCTGGCCTAAGTAGAATTCTCTAAACTGGAGTTTACCCGAGCATGGGGGTACATAGCTAGAATGACAGGATTTGGGAGACTGAAGCAGGAGGATGAGGAGCTTAAGGCTAGCCTGGGCTACAGAGGGAAATTCTGTCACAGAGGAGCAAAAACAAACTCTAAATAGAACATTAGAGTTTGTAGTTATTGAAGTAAAAACTCAACTGAAGAGTTCCAGAACAGCCAGGGCTGCACAGAGAAACACTGTCTCGAAAAACCAAAAAAATAAAATAAAATAAATAAAAAAATTAAAAAATAAAAACTCAACTGAAGAGTGAAATGACAAGACAAATGAGACACAGTTGAAGAGACAATGCTTAAATTAATGAAGTAAATGATGGGAAGCCATGGTGCAGATCACAGAGACAGGAAGGTATGAAGCATAAAGCAGAGGGTGAGAGACATGATGCTTCAACACACTTCTAATCAGACACTGGTGGCACATTCTCCAGAATTACATAGCCCATACATTGTGTGCCAAGCAGGAATGAGAAAATGACAGAGCCAAAACCAAAGTGGATCTCTGTGTAAGATCTTAGTATGTATCCTATCCCTGTCTCTTGGCATGGTGTCCCTATATAAACAGTCTACACCGGCCTGGAATCACTACCAGACCGCCCTCAATTTCATGGTGATATTTCTGCCTCAGTTTCTCCAGTGCTGGGATCACAGGAACGGGCCACTATGTTTGATCCTCATCTATTATTTTTGAGTTTTTTAGATTTTGTTCTTTGAGACAAGTCTTACACAGTCAGCTCTCTATGAGCTCTCTCCCAGCCACTGAAGATAACTTGAACTTTTTAATTTGCAAAAAGATTTATTTTTGTTATCTTTAATTTTGTCTACATGTGTGTATGACTGAGAGAGCATGTAAACTCAGGTACCAGCAGAGGCATTCTCCTGGACCTGGAGATACAGGTCGTTGTGAGCCATCTAACATGTGTGTCGAGAGTCAAGCTCTGGTTCACTGGAAGAGGAGTATATGCTTTTTAACTGCTGACCCATCTCTCCAGTTCCTAGTTTTAATTTAAAATTTGAATTTATTTAGTGTATGTGTGCGTTCATAAGCGTGTGTGGAGTTACAAACATAGAAGAGAGTCAGAGGATAATTTGTGGGAATCACTTCTCTGCTACCATGTGGGTTCTCAGGATTGAATTTTATTTCGTTGTAAGCACCTTTATTCCCTGGGCTGACCTGACCTTGAACTTCTGATTCTGCTGCCTCAACCTACCTAGCGCTGGGATCACGGGTATACACCATCATACCTGTTTTGTGCGGTACTGTGGATCAATCCAGAGTTTCAAGTGTGCTAGACAAGCACTCAGCCAACTGAACTACATCCCAGCCAGGAATCTGATTTCAACAAACACATGCGGCTTGTCTTGAGAGGCACTGTGTCTAGAAGATATATGAGGAGGCTTCAGCAGAATTAAGTTCTTTTTGGCTGAACCACACTTCTAATGGTCTTATAGGCATGCCCAAAGCTGGGGGCTTTATACATCCCTAACAGCACAGGGACTGAATGACCCACAAACCTGTTTCAATTCCGTATCTCAAATGAAGATGCTTGTCTAATTGTATGTGGAAGATAAGAGAGAGCCACATGCCAGCAGTTACACGCTTATCAAATATAATCAGAATTTCAACGTTCAGGGTCACTTGTCTCATGACAGAATGGTAGAGTAGGGTAGATTACAGAGTGAGAAATCTGGGTTAGTTGAGTTTCACTTTTGCGCAGGCGCAGAAGGAAGCCTACGATTGAAGCCTGAAAGCGCCCTCCCCCCACCCCTTTCCGGCTTGCCTCTAGCGCAGGCGCAAAGAGTGCTTCAATATGGCCGCCTCCGTGGATCTGGAGTTGAAGAAGGTAAAGGAAGCTTTTCAGCAGACAGACCCTTCTGTTTGAATGATGAAGCGAGTGGGGACATGAATAGGGGGCGGGGGGAGGCTCGCGTCTCGCTGGAGGAAGGAGACTGTAGGGGGCGGGGTCTGGCCTCCCGGAACCCTGAGACGGGACTCGCTCTGCTTCAGGTGGAGGTTCTTGCTGGCGGGAGCTGCTTCGGGCGGGTGGGTTAGGTTACTGGGTCGCGCGCGGGCTGGGCTGCAGTGTGTCCTTATGTTGGAACTTCAGAGACGTCTCTCTGTGTTTTGGAGCCGTCGGGGTCCCAATTTCATAGCAAGAACTGAAGACAGACCGTCAGAGGGCTTGCAGGAGCACCTGCAGTTAGGTTTCCTCATTTGATTTGAAAACTCCAGGTTCAACCTTTGCTTTTAGATCATTTATTCTGTACCATACCTTGAAAGTCCCTTTTATACACACCTCAGAAAACCAGACACTGCTATAGCAATGCTCTGTCAAGGCCTTAATCCTCTCTTCCCCATCACCTTTGTAAAGAGCTCTCATACCATCCTTCCTCGCCAAGTAAGCTTTCCAAAAGACCTTTTAGAGGAAATGGATTATTAATCATTATTATTATTTTCAGTCCATTGTTTACTGGCCCAGGTTCTGGTTTTGTTTTCCCAAGAGACAGGGTCTCCTTTAGCCTGGGCTGGCCTGGAACTTGGCTATGTAGTTGGAATGCACCCCTACACCCAGTTTCCCCAGAGCTAGGATTTGCACTCAAGGCTTCCTGCATTCAAGGAATTCATTTTGTTTTTTGAGACAAGACCTCTCACTGTGACCTAGGGATTGCCACTTTGGCTAGATTGTCTGTCTAGTGAGCTACAGGAACCCCCCGCACCCCCCCTCCATGCCTAGCATTAAACAAGTTGTATTTTTATGTTTGTGTCTTGCCTGCATGAATGTCTGTATACTGTATGTGTGTAGCCCTCTCAGGCTAGAAGAGGGCTTTGCGTCCCTATGAAACTGTAGTTAATAGGTGGTTTTGGTCTGCCACGTGGGTACTGGGAACCAAACCTGGTCCTCTGTAAGAGCAGCCAGTGCTCTTAACCCCTGAGCCATCCCATCAGCTCTGTCAGCTTGCTTTCTGGGTCTTGGGGAGTGAACCTCGAGTCAGCTGACTGAACTGTTTGCCTAGCTCCCTTAAGTAACATCTGAAGTAGTTGCCTCTGGTTAACCTTTGCCTAAGCAATATGACAGCTGAAATGGCTGTTCCTAATAAAAGAAGCCACTTGTTCCTGTTCTGGGGATGCTAAGTATGTGAATCTTGCTTTTTGCCAATCTTGTCTTGAAACATATAAACTTGGCTTTATACAGCATTCTCACATGCTACAAATCTCAGCCTTTTAAATTTTTTTTTTTTGATACGTGGTCTCACCATGTGTCCTGGACTAGCCTGTAATTTACTATGTAGATAGACCAGACAGTCCTTGAAATAATAAGAGATCCACTTGAGTTCTTGGATTAAAAGTGTATGCCTGATACGTAAATCTCAGCTTTATATATAAAGCTTTATATAAAATGTTTTCTCCTTTTATCATGTGAGTTCGGGTTCCAGGGATGGAACTCAGGTTGTTGGACTGGGTAATAAGTACCTTTACCTGCTGAGCTATCCTGTGAACCTCTGTCTTTCTGTGTGTCCACCCATCTATTAATCTATCTTAAAGATTAATTTTAAAATGTTTGTGTGTGCATGTAAAAGTGTGCTCAAGTGTTCTCTTACCATGTAGTTCCCAGAGGTCAAACTTGGGTTGTCAGGCTTGGTGGACAGTGCCGTTATCTACTGAGTCAATCTCACTGGCCCTAAAAAAAAAAAAAAAATCTTTTGTGAGATTAGGTGTCTTGTAGCTTCAGTCTGGCCTCTAATATCTTATAAGTCTCAGTCCCAGACAACTCCTGAACCTCCCTCCTGCTTCTGCCTCCCAGTTGTTAAGATTATAGGTGGAAGACACCAGGTCTGACTCTCCAGCCAGGATTTTGAAATAATATGAGGTACTTTGGATTCTAGTTATGTAGTACAGTTGTAGTAAGTTGCTTCTTGCTTTGGATCTCTGGGTTTATCTCCTGAATATTTTATTTATCCCTTTTATTACTGTCTGGTTACTTGACATATGGCTGTTTTTTAATGCACATTTGTTTTGCTTGTTCATATTGATCACGTCATCTATGGATATGGTCAATGAATTTAGAATTTAGAATTTACATAGTGTTACAATTCTGTTGACTCTTCATTTATGCTTACGTTGGTAAATTTTACAGCTTTGTCTGGTTAGCATGTTCTGTTTTAACAAATCTAGATTTGACTTAAAGGCTTAACTTACTAAATTAAACGCTTGTTTTTCTTAGGCCTTCACAGAGCTTCAAGCCAAAGTTATTGATACTCAACAGAAGGTGAAGCTTGCAGACATACAGATTGAACAGTTAAACAGAACAAAAAAGCATGCACACCTTACGGACACGGAGATTATGACGCTGGTGGATGAGACTAACATGTATGAAGGTGTAGGAAGAATGTAAGTAAATTACATCCTTCGTGGGGTTTTCTTGTGAGAAGTTTTGAGTGAATAAAATGGTAGAATTGTTTATTTTCAAAATGGGCTAATTAAAAAAAAACTTGGGTTAAAATATAGAAATAACTTGCAAAAGCTTTCTTTTTTTAAAAAAAATTTATTTATTTTATTTATATGAGTGAGTACACTGTAGCTGTCTTCAGGCACACCAGAAGAAGGAATTGGATCCCATTACAGATGGTTGTGAGCTGCTGGGAATTGAACTCAGGACCTCTAGAAGAGCAGTCAGTGCTCTTAACTACTGAGCTATCTCTCCAGCCCCTGTAAAAGCTTTCTTAAAAAAAAAAAAAAAAGGAGTAAAACCCCAGGTGGTTGTATGTGTGCATAGTTTTAAATTTTATGTTTCTTTCTCTCTCTTTTTTTCCTCTCTCTCTTTGGGGGGATGAGTTAGTGTGGGCATGAGTGTGTGCCTGTGCCTGTGCCCATGCCCTTGAAGGTATTGGATCTCTTGGAAATGGATGTAGGTGGTTGAGAGCCTCCTGATGTGGGTGCTGGGAACTGAACTTGGATCCTCTGCAAGAACAGCTAGAACTCTTAAATGCTGAATTCTCTCTCTAGCCACTCCCCTTTCAAAAATATTTTTATTAACTATGTATGTATGGTATGGCTATGTGTTGGTCTCTGCAAGTGAGTATAGGTGTCCACTAATTTACACTTTGTACTAATTATCAACGTAATTTAATTAATTAATTAATTTATTTTTTGTGTTTTTGTTTTGAGACAGGGTTTTTCTGTGTAGCCGTGGCTGTCCTGGAACTCACTCTGTAGACCAGGCTGGCCTCGAACTCAGAGATCTGTCTACCTCTGCCTCCCAAGTGCTGGGATTAAATGTATGCACCACCACTGCCTGGCCGTAATTTATTTATTTTAAAGCATTTTTAAAAAATGATTTTTATTTATCTTATTATGTATGTGAGTACATAGTCTCTGTTCTAAGATACACCAGAAGAGGGCATCTGATCACATTACAGATGGTTGTGAGCCACTATGTGGTTGCTGGGAATTGAACTCTGGACCTCTGGAAGAGCAGTCGGTGCTATTAACCACTGAGCCATCTCTCCAGCCCATTTAAAAGTATTCTTAATGAGTGGAAATAGAAACAGGTTATTGAGCAAGGAAGAGCACTCCTGAGAATGGGAGTGGGCTAGTTAGCAGGGAAAGGGCTTAAAGCTCTGATTGTTAATATATTTATCCACTTACATTACTTTTTTTCTATCAAAAACATATTCTCCTTATGAGAGAGATTAAGTTTTCTTTATGTTTTCTGAGAAAATGAAGACTGGGAAAGCTCTTGTGTATGGGCCACATTCCATTGCAGTTAGCTAACGGGAAGAACATTTTTTAAGGTGGAGAGGAGGGTTCTGTATTTGGCCTTTAAATATTATGGACTAGGTAGGCCTTTACTTTAAGTTTGGAGATCTTTTAGTTAGAATGGAATTTGACCTCGGTCTTGGGCTGACTTCTTTTGTGATTGACTGGGAGGAAGCATAACATGTGGAAAGTTCTGTAATGACTTTAGAATGACATCATGACAAGGTGACCCTTCCCGTGACTAATTCCTTCTTTCTGCTAAGAGAGAAGCGATAATAAGTATCTGATTTGCTTTCTTAAATGAATCACATACTTTTTCTTTTTAGTTCGTAATTTTAATTTTGTCTTATTTTAAGAGAAGGAGAGTCCCTTTCGTGAGTTTTTTTTTTTTTTTTTTTTTTTGAGTTTTTGTTTTTAATTTTGAGATATTCTTACTGTTTTTTAGTCTGGCCTCAAACTCGTTGTGTAGCAGAGGGTGACTGAACTCCCTGTCCTCCTGCCTCACATCACCGAGCGCTGGGATTACAGGTGTTGGGGATTGGATTACAGCTGTTCAGTGTTAGCTCCAGCTTGTGAGGTTGTTCATGGTACAGAACAGAATGGGAGCCAAGTAGAATCCTTGATTGTGTGTCATGTAGTGTGAAATGTATTGTTGGTATTCACTGCAGGGTAATTTATCCCTTAATTTGAATATCCTTACGTCTTAAACAGTGATTCACACTATTACTTTAGCCTTTGTTAATAACAGCTAAAGTTATAAAGTTTTTTGGTTTTTTGTTTGTTTTTGTTTTTTTTTTTTTTTTTACCAAGCTGGCCTGAAACTAGAAGGGAGCCACCTGCCTCTGCCTCCTGAGTGCTGGGATTGTATGTACCCACCATCCCTCAACATTTTGTTGATTTATGAGACAAGGATTCATGAAGCCCAGGCTGGTTTCCTGTTAGCTTCACGGAGACCTTGAGCATCTGACCTTCTATCTTCTAAGGGCTAGGGTTACTCCTGTATGCTTGATTGAAAACAATGTTTTCAATTTTCAAAAAGTTTTAAATTTTTAATTGTTTTATGTTTGATTTTAAGAATTAAACCTAGGGCTTTGAACATGCCAGACAAGTCTTCGGCCACTAAGCTGCATCCCCAGCCCTGAAGTTTTATATTTCTTTAGAATAATGACATATAGTAAATATTTTACTTAAGTTGTGGGAGTTAATTTTCTTTTTTTCATATTGTCCAAAGTTCTACAGATTGATTGTATTCCATGCCAAGTGTTACAGAGTTTAAAGGCTTACATATGGGTACTTGATAGATGGTATTATTTCATATAAATTCTTTTCTTAAGAGAAATGTGCAGTATTAGAGTTTTGGATGAGCCTTGGTTTTAAAATGAGCATTGAATTCTGCACTTCATTCAGCATGAGTTTGCCTGCCTTGTAGGGCATGTGAGGTGAAATGAGTCTGTTACTCGGCCAGACAGTATTGGTGCCACAGGGCTGGAGAGACTTGCTGAGTGCCAGTCTGGTCATGAGGATGTTCCGTTTCTTGATGCTAACCCTGGAATACCTACTTCTGAATTTATGGTCTTGAGTAATCTCGTGTCTCATTGTTATTCATTTCTTTAATTCCAGCCTTTACGGTCCTTTTTAAGTAGTACTTGAGAATTCTGATCATGTGACTTTACCCCATAGTTTGTATTTTGAAGCAAGATTTTTAAAATCCAAAATCCTGCTTTGTTTTTGTTTTAGAGCCTGCAGTAGATTTTTCTACTTTTCTTTTGACCCACAATTACTATTGTTTTTTGTTTTTTTGAGTGCTGTATGTTGAACTGGGGACTTCATACATGCTAAACAGGTGCTCTGTCACTGAGCTATATTCCCAACCTTCTTTTTTTTTTTTTTTTTTTGAGGTAGAACAGGTTTCGTGTATCCCAGCCTAGCCTGAGATAATGTAGAGCTTCTGTCTCCTGCCCTGGTTGTAGGTAGGGCTAATCCTGCAGAATCAGCTCACTTGTTCTTTCTACTGCCAGGCCTGCTCACATCCGTTCTTCACGGTGCCAGAATCCATCATCCCTCACAGAACCTTTTGCTTATCCTCAGTCCTTATAGGGGAGAATCTAATCTTGTTAGCCTCACGTTCACATTCACGGTCCTATACTCCGTTTTTAATTACCCATCTAGCCTCAGGTCCTACTGCTTCCTGTTTGTAGATTCAGAGTAGCACAGACAACTCATCTCATGGTCCTGTTCTTTGTTTTATTTGTTCAGAAGGATTTTGAGACTTCATATGGTTTCTCAATACGTTCTGACTGATTGGTGATGTTTGTCATGGAGCAAGGGAAGGAGACCCAGCACACGAACCGCACATTTTTACCCTTGCCACATGGTTTGCTTTTTTGTTTTTTGTTTTTGTTTTTTTTTTCATGTCATATTTTGTGGGTTTTTTTTTTCTTTCTTTTTTTTGCGGAGGGGATGATCTTTGTTTATTCCATTCCCACTTTTGGCCTTCAGCATTCCTCTTTCCCTTGTGAAATTCTCATCCTTTAAGATACGGCTCAAATCTTGTGATGCCTTTGGAATTTTTCTAGATTTACCCATTCTTTCTTCAACAATCCCAAGGCTCTTTGTTTTGACTGTCAGTAGAGCACACTGAGTGTGTCATGTGATCTCCCCAACCAGCTTGACTCCCTTGAGACCATGTATATATATTGCCTGTGGTTCCTCCACTCTCAGAATAATGTTTGGTACAAAATACATGTTAAATAAATATATGTTGATATGAGGTGAATCTGATCGTTTTTCAGCCTAAAATAACGGCATTTTTTTGGTTGTTTTTGGTTATTTATTTGACATAGGGTCTCAGATAGCCCAGGTTGGCCTTAAACTCTGTAGCAGAGGGTGGTCTTGAGTTCCTGATCCTCTTGCTTCTATCTCCTGAGTGCTAGGATTTTAGGCCTGCATTGATATACTCAGCTTCTTGATTCCTTAGAGAAAAGTTATGCTTAGAAGTTATCAGAGGTTCAAGAATTAGAATTTATAATCCTATTTTAATACATGATTTGGTCAAGATGGAATTATAAGAGTAATATATAAAGCCATAAGTGGTGATGAATGCCTTAAATCCCTGCACTCAGGGCTGGGCAGGAGGATTGTTGAATTTCAGGCCACTCTGGCCTACAGAGGGAGTTCCAGGCTAGCCTGGTTACAAAGTAATATTGACTCAAAACTGACAAACAAAAAGTAACATTCTGACTAAAGTAGAGGAATTGTTTCTTAACAGAATTGCTTGATCTGACTTGATTAATCTGTTAGGGTTCCTTCTTTTGAGAAAGTTGACTAATTTTCAATGCCAGTCAGTTTCAAAGTGTCAAAATTGACCACAAAGAAATTTCCAGAACTTCAGAATGATGCTGTGGACACAGTTCTTGGGGGGAACAAAGGGTATTCTGTACAGTGTAATTTCAGTATAATCCTGTCTGACTTTTCCATCCTCACATAGCTGGAACACAGATTTCCATTTTCAGGGTATGTATGTATTTAAGCAGATCTTTGCAAGCCCACATGTCCTTCAGCTTATATTTAGAGAGAAGGTTGGTAGTGTTAAATAACTTCTGTGTGGCTATTTTGGGGTTAAAGTAAGGGAA